GTTATTATTTACACTTTTTTTTTCACGTTATTAACACTTGTCAGAGTCACTTTCGAATGTTTCAGAAGTGAGCTTGGTCCCAGGTTAATCTGGGTGACTGCACTCACTTCGAATAGCATCATACAGTGTGGGGACACTATGGCAACTGCTAACTAACACTGATTTGAGGTCAAGGGAGGAAAAACCCATTCTATTTCTTTTCTACTTCTCCTGTATAAATTCACCCAAATACAGTCAGAGTTGCCTGAAAAAGATGCATTCTTTTATCAACTTTTACTCGTATTAAGTGCAACGCCCATATCTTTATAACTGATAACTGTGAACTGTTCCTGTTAGCTTCACATTTCTGTGTGCCCTAGGTCAGATCGAACTCTACACACACCTGCCAGTGATGAAACAGCTGGTGGAGCAGCTTCAGCAGTGGGAGTTCCGAGTCTGTGGAGTTTTTCTGGTGGACTCTCAGTTTATGGTGGAATCTTTTAAGGTATCCATTTGGAATCTGTTGTGAAAATGTTGATATGGATAAAGAACAAGAAATCTGAGCAATTTGTTTAGCCCAGAAGAAAGAATGCTAAGCTGGGGGAGATCTGACTGCTGTCTTCAGCTGCCTCAGGCTCAGGTTGCAGCAAAGAAAATTCCAGTTGGATGTAAAGAAGAAAATCCTGCAGTGTGAGAGAGGTCAGGCTGGAAGAGGGGCAGAGAGATTGTACAGTGTATGTTCATGGAGTTACTCCAAACTTGACTGAGCAAAACCCCTGAGCGATCTGATCTGACTCTGCAGCTGGCTCTGGTTGGAGCAGTGATATAAACCAGAGAACCTCTAACAGTCTCCTCCAACCTAAATTCTTCTGTGATTCTATGGCAGCTTTCTCAGATCTGGAGACTTTTCCCCATCTAGCAGTAAAAATCCTGAGATAGGCTTTGAGTTTTGTAACAGCCATTTCAGTGGCAGATCTAGATTTGAGGTTCTGGAAATAAGATGTCAGGTCGGAAGCACCGCACCTCCCTTTTCCAACAGAGATAAGGAGCACCCACTTGGCCTCATGTCCATGTTTCATATAGTCATTACCTAGATTTGGTCTGTGGTAGAGTGTCCTGCACGTTTGTATTGTGTTTTTCTGTACTTAACTACATAATTTTTCATATTCCTTTAGTTCATCTCTGGAATTCTGGCAGCGCTCAGCGCAATGATATCTTTAGAGATTCCACAGATCAACATCATGACCAAAATGGATTTGCTGAGCAAGAAAGCCAAGAAGGAAATAGAAAAGTAAGTTCCAAAAAATTACGTACTCTGTAGTGTAACATTTGACGTAAACTTCACTCGAAATTCAGTCTAATGTTTCCCACAATTAAAAGAAATGGGAGAAGATGCATTTGTTTTATATCGAACATGGTTGATGTCTGGATAGGATGCCTACAATTTAGTCTGAGTCAAAAGGCCAGCTTCATGTTTGTGCATATCTCCGGATTTTTCTGTAAATAATTATCTTGAGTAACTTACGTCATTCTGAATGACATTGCAGGGTCCTGTGCCCACCAGGGGACTGTACTTCAAAACCTAAATCAGAGGTGATCCTATCAGTTTTTGATACTAAACATACTGAGTTACTTACGTGTTACTTTTACACTGCAGGGTCCTGTGCCCACCAGGGGACTGTATTTCAAAACCTAAATCGGAGGTTTACTTGTTACTTTTACATTTGTGCGAAAATTACAAAATTAAAGTTTTTCCCTGTGCTCTTTCTCAAAGCTTTCTGGAGTACACAAGTACATTAGCAAAAAGAAAATGAAAACTGCATCAGATATTCAAATACTTACAAAACCTATTTTTAAGCATTTTGACACAAGTACATTAGCAAAAAGAAAATGAAAAGCGCTTCAGTTGTTTCTACTAGCCATTGTAAGCTGAGATAGTCAAATACTTACAAAACCTTTAAGCATTTTGCATTCTTCTGATATGAAGTTTGTTCATTCAGATCACAGAATGATAGATGGTTTTGGTAGCTAGATAAAAGCACAATGACTTGTTTGCTTTGTGGCCAAGGATTCTTTCCATGTTAACGATGTTCTTTGTTTTGTACTATTGTTTGCTTTGTGGCCAAGGATTCTTTCCACGTTAATGACGACTTTGTTTCTCCCAGGTACTTAGATCCAGATATGTATTCTATGATTGAAGATTCTACAAATATATTGAAAAGCAAAATGTTTAAAAAGTTGACTAAATCTATATGTGGATTGGTAGGTATATTGCTTTTTATCTAGTACCCTTAAATTCAGTCTTTTATTTATAAACCATACTGTATGGTTGCAGGCTTCGTTGCTGTTATAGATACTGTAAATACTATAATAATTCTCCCCCCTCACCCCAAAACTATATATTTACCTACCAGACTTATTAACAAAGCCAGGATCTAAAAGACTCTCAGGCACTTGAGCATTTTACTTTTTGCCTATACCCTTAAATTCAGTCTTTTATTTATAAACTGTACCGTATGGTTGCAGGCTTCATTGCTGTTATAGATACTGTAAATACTATAATAATTCTCCCCCCTCAACCCAAAACTATATATATTCACCTACCAGCCTTATTAACAAAGCCAGGATCTAAAAGATTCTCAGGCACTTGAGCATTTTACATTTTGCCTATTTTAACTCAGTTTTTGATTATTTTTTTTCAGATTAGCATAAGATTCTTGATAGTAACACCTGGATTGTAAGCAGTACATTCTCTGTGAATCCTGTTCTATCAGCAATTTTGGAAAACAGCTTTTTCTGCTGTGTGTAGAACTTAGGACTGATGGCCAGGTGTTCCGAGCGGGGAATTGCCATTGGTTTGCAGAGTGGCTTTAAATGGTATTTTTGCAGTCCAGACAAGGAAGAGATAAGCGTGGTTTAAGGAGGTGGCTTAGGGTGCTGTGATTGAGAACGAACTTACTGCATTTTCTTACTAACATCCTTTGAATCCTTTCTCTAGATTGATGACTATGGTATGGTTCGATTTCTACCTTTTGATCGCTCTGATGAGGAAAGTATAAACATAGTTCTGCAGCACATAGACTTTACCATTCAATATGGAGAAGATCTTGAATTTAAAGAACCAAAGGTAAGGTACTTCTGATGATAAGATGAAAAATTAAAAAGGATCCGTAATATAAGTTGTCATATAAATATGTTCTTTGCCTTGCTAGTAAATTATTGTCTTAGTATGGTTCAAAATAAGCTATATAAATAGAAGACTGCTGAGTTAAAATCTGTTCCGAGTTCTGTTCCAATCTGTCTAGTTTCATTATTCAGCTCATAAATCCCAAGGAAGAAGTCCAGTGTTTATTCCATTTTTTAATTCAGTTTTGTACTCTTTACCTGGATTTTGACCTATACAGTTTCGATAGTTTTAGGAAGAAATTGCTTTTCAGAAAGTTTTGCTACATGTTTTATGGAATCATATTAGACATTGTTCCTGTTGTGGTTTCTAAAATAAAATGTCACAGAACAGACAATGTACAACAGCCACTAGGGAAAAGTCAGGTTTTACCATCTTTTGTGTCCTTTTTGGCAGGAATGCGAAGAAGATAAATCTGCTCTTGTAGATGAATACTTTCAAGATCATGTGGATGAGTGAAAAATGGACATTCAAAAATGGGAGGAAAATACCTCTCTTGTGTTAAAAAAATTTTTTAAAAATTCACCCCTACCCAAACATATTTGATGTTTTATCTGTAAGATAACTAATATTTATAGTGAAGAGTGAGCTATATGACTTTGTAACTATTTTAATAAACAATTTTTATTCTTATGTGTTTGTGTTATAAAATACATAGGCTAGCATTAGTACATATAAAAGTTTGCTGTATATAGATGTATCTCATTTAAGCACAGGAATGCTTGGAAAAAAATATTTAATGATTTGCAAAAGAGGCAAAGCCAAATATAAGTATGTTGTAATAAATATTTATGTGCAGTATCGAGTAGTTAGTTTCATTATTAGATGAGAGAAAGAATTGTTGTAAAGGATGAAACTTAAGACTTCATGAACTGAACCTGAATTAGGCGAAGAGATGAGTGGCAACTTCAAAGGGACGTCTGATCAATGGTGGTCTCTCACCCTTCTTGAAGGACGTGAGTGTTTTACATTCATTTTAGAGGAGCCCAGATTTTAAACCTTTCAAAGGCTGGTTTGGTCCAACTTGCATATGGTTTTAAGTGCTTTATATGTTGATAACATCTTAAGCACAGCACAACACTTTAAAGAAAATCAGCTTAAATGATGGTCTTGTGCAGTCATGTTAGAAACGAAAACAACCCCGTGAACGCGACGGGCTTGGTGGGGAGGGGTGGCTGGAAAACTGAAAAGGACGTGAGGGTGTTGGTCGACAGCTGGCTGAATGTGAGCCAGCAGTGTGCCCAGGTGGCCAAGAAGGCCACCAGCATCCTGGCCTGTATCAGGAATGGTGTGGCCAGCAGGGCTAGGGCAGTGGTGGCCCCACCTGTGAAGGCACTGGTGAGGCCCCACCTCGAATATTGTGTTCAGTTTTGGGCCCCTAACTACAAGAAAGACATTGAGGTGGTGGAGTGTGTCCAGAGAACGGCAATGAAGCTGGTGAGGGCTCTGTAGAACAAGTCTTATGAGGAGAGGCTGAGGGAGCTGGGGGTGGTCAGGCTGGAGATGAGGTTGAGGGGAGATCTCATCGCTCTCTGTGACTGCCTGAAAGTCTCTTCTCCCAAGTGACGGGTGATAGGACGGGAAGTGGCCTCAAGTTGCACCAGGGGAGGTTTAGGATGGATATTAAGAAAAATTTCTTCACCAAAAGGGTTATCAAGCATTGGAACAAGCTGCCCAGGGCAGTGGTGGAATCACCATCCCTGGAGGTGTTTAAAAGATGGACAGACGTGATGCTGAGGGTTATGGTTTAGTGGTGGCTCTTGTCAGTGTGAGGTTGGTGGTTGGACTCAATGATCAGAAAGGTCCCTTCCAAACTAGACCATTCCATGATTCTACGGCAGCGGCGCGGGGGGTCCCTGACGACGTTTGTCTCCCTTGCAGAGCACGTACTGTGCCACCATGGTGCAGCACTGCGAGGCGCTGGGACGCTCCGTGCAGGTGGTGAACCTGGACCCGGCGGCGGAGCTCTTCAGCTACCCGGTGATGGCAGGTGAGTGGTGGGAGCGGCCAGGAGCCACCCTCGGGCACCGCTGCCAGCACAGGGGCTGAAACCAGCTGGTGTCTCTGTTGTTCCAGACATCCGTGAGTTAATCGAAGTGGACGACGTGATGGAAGATGAATCCTTGAGGTTTGGTCCCAACGGCGGCTTGGTGTTTTGCATGGAATACTTTGCCAATAACTTTAACTGGCTAGAGGAAAGCCTTGGGCACGTGGAGGATGACTATATATTGTTTGACTGCCCAGGTAAACAAATGTCTATGTTTTGGTATTGTTCTTTATATGCAATATAAAATCTGTGGTACTTTTTTTTTTTGTTGGTTGTTATTATTTACACTTTTTTTTTCACGTTATTAACACTTGTCAGAGTCACTTTCGAATGTTTCAGAAGTGAGCTTGGTCCCAGGTTAATCTGGGTGACTGCACTCACTTCGAATAGCATCATACAGTGTGGGGACACTATGGCAACTGCTAACTAACACTGATTTGAGGTCAAGGGAGGAAAAACCCATTCTATTTCTTTTCTACTTCTCCTGTATAAATTCACCCAAATACAGTCAGAGTTGCCTGAAAAAGATGCATTCTTTTATCAACTTTTACTCGTATTAAGTGCAACGCCCATATCTTTATAACTGATAACTGTGAACTGTTCCTGTTAGCTTCACATTCCTGTGTGCCCTAGGTCAGATCGAACTCTACACACACCTGCCAGTGATGAAACAGCTGGTGGAGCAGCTTCAGCAGTGGGAGTTCCGAGTCTGTGGAGTTTTTCTGGTGGACTCTCAGTTTATGGTGGAATCTTTTAAGGTATCCATTTGGAATCTGTTGTGAAAAAGTTCATATGGATAAAGAACAAGAAATCTGAGCAATTTGTTTAGCCCAGAAGAAAGAATGCTAAGCTGGGGGAGATCTGACTGCTGTCTTCAGCTGCCTCAGGCTCAGGTTGCAGCAAAGAAAATTCCAGTTGGATGTAAAGAAGAAAATCCTGCAGTGTGAGAGAGGTCAGGCTGGAAGAGGGGCAGAGAGATTGTACAGTGTATGTTCATGGAGTTACTCCAAACTTGACTGAGCAAAACCCCTGAGCAATCTGATCTGACTCTGCAGCTGGCTCTGGTTGGAGCAGTGATATAAACCAGAGAACCTCTAACAGTCTCCTCCAACCTAAATTCTTCTGTGATTCTATGGCAGCTTTCTCAGATCTGGAGACTTTTCCCCATCTAGCAGTAAAAATCCTGAGATAGGCTTTGAGTTTTGTAACAGCCATTTCAGTGGCAGATCTAGATTTGAGGTTCTGGAAATAAGATGTCAGGTCGGAAGCACCGCACCTCCCTTTTCCAACAGAGATAAGGAGCACCCACTTGGCCTCATGTCCATGTTTCATATAGTCATTACCTAGATTTGGTCTGTGGTAGAGTGTCCTGCACGTTTGTATTGTGTTTTTCTGTACTTAACTACATAATTTTTCATATTCCTTTAGTTCATCTCTGGAATTCTGGCAGCGCTCAGCGCAATGATATCTTTAGAGATTCCACAGATCAACATCATGACCAAAATGGATTTGCTGAGCAAGAAAGCCAAGAAGGAAATAGAAAAGTAAGTTCCAAAAAATTACGTACTCTGTAGTGTAATATTTGACGTAAACTTCACTCAAAATTCAGTCTAATGTTTCCCACAATTAAAAGAAATGGGAGAAGATGCATTTGCTTTATATCGAACATGGTTGATTTCTGGATAGGATGCTTACAATTTAGTCTGAGTCAAAAGGCCAGCTTCATGTTTGTGCATATCTCCGGATTTTTCTGTAAATAATTATCTTGAGTAACTTACGTCATTCTGAATGACATTGCAGGGTCCTGTGCCCACCAGGGGACTGTATTTCAAAACCTAAATCGGAGGTTTACTTGTTACTTTTACATTTGTGCGAAAATTACAAAATTAAAGTTTTTCCCTGTGCTCTTTCTCAAAGCTTTCTGGAGTACACAAGTACATTAGCAAAAAGAAAATGAAAACTGCATCAGATATTCAAATACTTACAAAACCTATTTTTAAGCATTTTGAATTCTTCTGATATGAAGTTTGTTCATTCAGATCACAGAATGATAGATGGTTTTGGTAGCTAGATAAAAGCACAATGACTTGTTTGCTTTGTGGCCAAGGATTCTTTCCATGTTAACGATGTTCTTTGTTTTGTACTACCAGGTACTTAGATCCAGATATGTATTCTATGATTGAAGATTCTACAAATATATTGAAAAGCAAAATGTTTAAAAAGTTGACTAAATCTATATGTGGATTGGTAGGTATATCGCTTTTTAACTAGTACCCTTAAATTCAGTCTTTTATTTATAAACTGTACCGTATGGTTGCAGGCTTCATTGCTGTTATAGATACTGTAAATACTATAATAATTCTCCCCCCTCAACCCAAAACTATATATATTCACCTACCAGACTTATTAACAAAGCCAGGATCTAAAAGATTCTCAGGCACTTGAGCATTTTACATTTTGCCTATTTTAACTCAGTTTTTGATTATTTTTTTTTTCAGATTAGCATAAGATTCTTGATAGTAACACCTGGATTGTAAGCAGTACATTCTCTGTGAATCCTGTTCTATCAGCAATTTTGGAAAACAGCTTTTTCTGCTGTGTGTAGAACTTAGGACTGATGGCCAGGTGTTCCGAGCGGGGAATTGCCATTGGTTTGCAGAGTGGCTTTAAATGGTATTTTTGCAGTCCAGACAAGGAAGAGATAAGCGTGGTTTAAGGAGGTGGCTTAGGGTGCTGTGATTGAGAACAAACTTACTGCATTTTCTTACTAACATCCTTTGAATCCTTTCTCTAGATTGATGACTATGGTATGGTTCGATTTCTACCTTTTGATCGCTCTGATGAGGAAAGTATAAACATAGTTCTGCAGCACATAGACTTTACCATTCAATATGGAGAAGATCTTGAATTTAAAGAACCAAAGGTAAGGTACTTCTGATGATAAGATGAAAAATTAAAAAGGATCTGTAATATAAGTTGTCATATAAATATGTTCTTTGCCTTGCTAGTAAATTATTGTCTTAGTATGGTTCAAAATAAGCTATATAAATAGAAGACTGCTGCGTTAAAATCTGTTCCGAGTTCTGTTCCAATCTGTCTAGTTTCATTATTCAGCTCATAAATCCCAAGGAAGAAGTCCAGTGTTTATTCCATTTTTTAATTCAGTTTTGTACTCTTTACCTGGATTTTGACCTATACAGTTTCGATAGTTTTAGGAAGAAATTGCTTTTCAGAAAGTTTTGCTACATGTTTTATGGAATCATATTAGGCATTGTTCCTGTTGTGGTTTCTAAAATAAAATGTCACAGAACAGACAATGTACAACAGCCACTAGGGAAAAGTCAGGTTTTACCATCTTTTGTGTCCTTTTTGGCAGGAATGCGAAGAAGATAAATCTGCTCTTGTAGATGAATACTTTCAAGATCATGTGGATGAGTGAAAAATGGACATTCAAAAATGGGAGGAAAATACCTCTCTTGTGTTAAAAAAATTTTTAAAAAATTCACCCCTACCCAAACATATCTGATGTTTTATCTGTAAGATAACTAATATTTATAGTGAAGAGTGAGCTATATGACTTTGTAACTATTTTAATAAACAATTTTTATTCTTATGTGTTTGTGTTATAAAATACATAGGCTAGCATTAGTACATATAAAAGTTTGCTGTATATAGATGTATCTCATTTAAGCACAGGAATGCTTGGAAAAAAATATTTAATGATTTGCAAAAGAGGCAAAGCCAAATACAAGTATGTTGTAATAAATATTTATGTGCAGTATGGAGTAGTTAGTTTCATTATTAGATGAGAGAAAGAATTGTTGTAAAGGATGAAACTTAAGACTTCATGAACTGAACCTGAATTAGGCGAAGAGATGAGTGGCAACTTCAAAGGGACGTCTGATCAATGGTGGTCTCTCACCCTTCTTGAAGGACGTGAGTGTTTTACATTCATTTTAGAGGAGCCCAGATTTTAAACCTTTCAAAGGCTGGTTTGGTCCAACTTGCATATGGTTTTAAGTGCTTTATATGTTGATAACATCTTAAGCACAGCACAACACTTTAAAGAAAATCAGCTTAAATGATGGTCTTGTGCAGTCATGTTAGAAACAGTTAATGAAGAATTCAGCAACAAATAAGCAAGCTCCTTTTTTCCCCAAATAAAGAACTCCTACTATGGACATGTTAACTCTAAAGTACAATGTGTGGTGCTTTCAGAGAAGCAAAAATTTAGCATCTTATCTGCAAAGAACATATTCACATAAATAACTAAATACATGTAAAAATAATCATAGGAATTTTTCAGGTAAGTAGCATCAATTCTGGAATTAGGTGTAGCTGCTCATAGACTGTTCGTATCAGATAATAATTCAAGCCCTACAGGAAAACATACTGCTGAATTTACCTCCCCCTGTATATAGTTCTTTTATATATACAGACTGTTCTGGACCATCTTGAGTGTTTCAAAACATCGAATCATAGAATGGTCAAGGTTGGAAGGGACCTTTCAGATCATTGAATCCAACCATCGACTTCACCCAGAAAACCCACCACTAAGCCAGGGATGATGATTCCACCACTGCCTTGGGAAGCCTGTTCCGGTGTTTAATAACCCTTTAGGTGAAGAAATTTTTCTTAATATCCATCCTAAACCTCCCCTGGTGCAACTTGAGGACATTTCCACTTGTATCACTCGTTGTTTGGGAGAAGAGACAGTCACAGAAAAACCACCACTAAACCAGGTCCCTCAGCACCATGTCTACCCGTCTTTTAAATACCTCCAGGGATGATGATTCCACCACTGCCTTGGGAAGCCTGTTCCGGTGTTTAATAACCCTTTAGGTGAAGAAATTTTTCTTAATATCCATCCTAAACCTCCCTTGGTGCAACTTGAGGACATTTCCACTTGTATCACTCGTTGTTTGGGAGAAGAGACAGTCCCCCATCTCTCTATAAGCTCCTTTCAGGTAGTTGTAGAGTGCAAGGTCTCCCCTCAGCCTCCTTATCTCCAGGTTGCACAACCCCAGCTCCCTCAGCCTCTCCTCACAAGACTTGTTCTCCAGACCCCTCACCATCTCCATTGCTCTTCTCTGGACACACTCCAGCCCCTCAATGTCTTTCTCGTGGGGGGGGCAAAACGGAACACAGTATTGAGGTGGGGCCTGAGCAGCGCTGAGGACAGAGGGGCGACCACAGCCCTAGCCCTGCTGGCCCCACCATCGTGCCCCGGCCGAACGGTGCCTCCCGGGGCGGTGCGGCCGCCGGCCTCCCCCCGCCCCGGCTGCACCGCCTCTCGCCGCCTCACTTCCTGCGGCGCCGGCGGAGGAGGAAGGTTGGCTCCCAGCTCCTCAGCTCCCCTCCAGCCCGGCCCCGCCGAACTCCCTCCTGCCCTTCGAGATGCCGGTGAGGAAGGTTTGGCACCCGGGGATCGGCCAGACCCCGGTGGCGGCGGGGCGGGGGTG